CTGTTTGTACGTAGCGGTTTCTGCTCAAGCCGCTTACTGTATATCGCGAGATCGTCTTCACCTCCATATTGCCGGCCTTCCGTATGGCTTCCCAGATGGCCGGTCGGCTCGACCCCGTGACGGGCGAGTATTATCCAAGCGATGATGAAGTGCGCCTCAGTATGGAGCGCTGGCACACGCCACCCAACCACGAGGCGTATGCGCGGCGCTGGCTCAAGCAGTGTGGCTCGGAGAGGTGGTTCGCGTGCGGTATCTTCTTCCCTATTCTATGGGAGGGTGTCAAGGGCGTATGCCTCGCCGTATCGAGCGGTATGTCCACGAGGCAGTCGAAGACGAACAACGACCCGGACTACCAGCACAGTATGGGGGGCATCCCCGAGCCGGATTGGCTTTACTTCGACGCCTTCTTCTACGCGCACGCGGTATTCGGGAATTTCTCGGTATTCCAGGATGAGAGGCTTGGGAAGCCCATTGGCTACCTTCTGCACGTATTCGACACGCTATGCACTGCGCGAGGTATCGTCGCCTGGAAAGCCAACCTCTTCGTCCACCCGGGCCAGTGGGTGTATAGCAGTATGCGGTATTTGCTCGGTCAGCTCGCTATTCCCATTCATGCGGAGATCGTATCCGGCCTCTCCTACAGGGCCCTCGCCACCTAGGACGTATTCATTGCGTATCACGCGGCCTTCATGGGTACGGACCCGCAGAAAATGGCCATTTGGAACGTATCCCCTGAGGTCGGCCCAGAGATGAAGTATCCGCGTCAAGACCAGTGGTGGTGGTTGCCCGTATGGCGGTCTTTTGGTCAGAGCGACGAGTATCCGAACATGCTCGATTACCCCGCCTTGCCACCGCAGGTCCACAACGTGCTCGCGTTAGCACTGCCGTATGCAAGCCCCGGCTCTCTCGCCAGCAGGCGCATCGGCAATATCATTGGGCATTTGGGAGCGCACGGGTATCAGCCAGGCCCGCACCTGCATCAGCCAGGCAGCCATGCACCCACGCGCCCGCTCCGCGCCATCGCAGACGACGATGCGTCGCGCCTTTAGTATGCTTCTGGATGCGAAGACCATTCGGTTGAGTATACCCCTACGTGTGACTGGACCTGTTTGCGAAAGCAGGAGAAAGTATGGCAACCCTTTGTGTCCAGAGCCGCGCCGTCTGCGTTCTTCCTTTCTCGCTTCTCTCCTTTCCTCCTTGTCCTGCTCCTCCTCCCCCTCTTCCGCCTTGGAGCCGTATTGGAACTGTCGATGGCCATCTCCCTTTCTCCCTCGCAATTCATCTATGTACTTACTTTATTTAATTCCGAAACCCCTCCCCCTCAAACCTATCCTTGTTAATCGTCTTAAACAAATTTTTACCTTTCGAATTTCACGAACCCATAATTTACTTTCCTCCTCCCTCGTCAGGCATAGCACAGCTGCTGCGATGTGCCGTGTATTTTGTATTCACCAGCGCCACCATTGTACATGCAATGCCCAATGCGTCATATCTTGTGCCCTGTATAACAGCAGAAACAGACAACATTGCATCGCAGCGGGACAGCCATCGGGACAACCATCGGGACTACCATCGGGACAACCATTTGGACAAGCATCGGGATAACGATCGGGACAACCATAACCATCAGGACAACCATCGGGGCAACCATCGAGACAACCATCGGGACAACGATACCTTCTCTCTTGTGTCCTCCCACATCCCTCAGGAAGTTGCCCTAACGATGTGACCGACTCCTCTCTCTCCTTCTCTATGTCTCTCGCTCTTTCTCTGCTTCATATCTATCATACGTAACACATCTACTTGTGTAATCGCCTTCCCAGGAAATTGCCCCAAAAATGTGACCAACTATCTTGGCAGTGCGTACCATCTCACGTGTACCGTGTACCACATCTTCTCAGGATGCCTCACACATGTGACGAATCTCTTTCTATCTCTCTCTCCTCTGGCTCTCTGTCTTGCTCTCTCTCTCTCTCTCTCTCTCTCTCTCTCTGTCTTTGTACTATGTATGGCATGCGCAACAAATGCACGATGCGGGGCACATGCGGGGCCCAAACAAGTGATCAACCTCTGCGGGTGTGTACTCCACGCCAGTGTAGTATCCACGATCGTCCGCGCGCCACGAAGTGAAGTGTCCTGACGTCATAGGGCGGGAAGCTGGGTGTGGGTGGTTCCCGAGTGTCGTGTGGATGTTTGGTAGAGCTTGCATTGCCCCCCCACGAAGTGGGGGTATTGGCTGGCGTCGCATGAAAACCCTGGCACTGGGGAGAACACTGAGCGTTCGGGTAAAATGATTGTTGTTGTTGTTGTTGTTGTTGTTGTTGTTGTTGTTGAACATTATTCCTTCTTAAGAATTATTATTGTTGGGACCCCTGGTGCGCGACCTCTGCGCCGCGCCTAGGCCGCAGCTACATTTTCATCATTTTTTCGCGAAAGCTTCAGAAAAGTGGATGAGCTCCGGATCCGGTTTTTTGTTGACGCTCGTTTTCCCTTGCAAAAAACAATTGAAAATGAAAATTCTTGTTCTTACTTGATCAAATTGCAAGAATCCCTTGCAAAAAATAAGGTAAAGTGGACATTCGTGCGCGCAAGACGAAATCCTTCCAAAACCTTAGGTTTCGTAACGATTTTAACATATAAACATCAAAAACCCAATGGTTTTTTAAGAAAAAATTGTCAAAATGTCCTTCCGCGCGCGCTGTCCGAATCCCACAAAACCAATGGTTTTTCAACATTTATGTTACATGAGCTCGCGCGAGCTACTTTTTCTTGTTCTAACATAATCAATTTTCAATAATCCCTTGCAAAAAATAAGGTAAAGTGGACATTCGCGCGCGCAAGACGAAATCCTTCCAAAACCTTAGGTTTCCCAACGCTTTTAACATAAAAACATCAATAACCCAATGGTTTTTTTAAGAAAAAACGGTCAAAATGTCCTTCCGCGCGCGCTGTCCGAATCCCACAAAACCAATGGTTTTTCAACATTTACGTTACATGAGCTCGCGCGAGCTATTTTTTCTTGTTCTAACATAATCAAATTTCAATAATCCCTTGCAAAAAATAAGGTAAAGTGGACATTCGAGCGCGCAAGACCACAAAAAAAACGACGATTCAGGAACTGCCCCAAAAATGTGACAACTCCGCTCTCTCTTACTGTTCTCTCTCTCTCACTGCTCTCTGTCTCTCTCTCTGTCTGTCTGTGTCATGTTATTGTATAGTCACACTTTCAAGGCGGCTGGGCACACGCGGCCCATGGCAGGGACGCGGCTGCCTGCTGTGTGTACCACGAAGTGTAGTAGCCACGGTCGTCCGCACGCCACGAAGTGAAGTGTCCCAACGTCATAGGGCGGGAAGCTGGGTTTGGGTGGTCGCGAAGAGTCGTTTGGATATTTGGTAGAGCTTGAACTGCCCCCCACGAAGTGGGGGTATTGTCTCGCGTCGCATGAAAACCCTGGCACTGGTGAGAACACTGAGCGTTCGGGTAAAATGATTGTTGTTGTTGTTGTTGTTGTTGTTGTTGTTGTTGTTGTTGTTGTTGTTGTTGTTGTTGTTGTTGTGCGTGCTTGTCCTGCCTGCCAACGCCGCAAGCGCCGCCGACTCGCGCCCTGCTGACTGCTGGCGCGCTCTCGAGCCAGAAAAATCTGCTCGGCCCCGCTCGCAACAGCGACGCGCGCGGCGAAAGCCAGCGATGGCGACGAGAACTTCTTCCAACCAGTCGGCCCACGTGAGTCGAGGGGCGCGTGCGCATCAAGATGGAATTCGCATGCGGGGGGCCATGTTGCAAGGTGGCGGGTCATCTGGGGCACGGCGGCGCGAGCCTCCTCGGCGGCGCGCGCCCCGTCATTGCCCGAGCCGAACACAGCAGCATTGCCCGCGCCCCGGCGTCCCGCTCACCCGGCAATGTCAATCGTCATGCCGCCCTCTTCCGCCCGCTTGCGGGGCCCTTCCGCTCGCTTGCGGTCGAGGTCGTCCTTGTGGTCGAGGTGGGGCGTGAGCGCGGTCTCCATGTCAAGGTCGTCGCCATTCGCGTCCAGGCGCTGGCAGGCGGGCCTCGTGGGGCCCACCTGCGCGCCAGCGTCCTTCTGTTTTTTCCCAACCCTCCTATGGTTGGGTACTCGTTTTGAATAGAGCAGCGTGGTCGCCCTGTCCTCCTCCTCCTCCCCTCTCCTCCCCTCCTGTCCTGTTTCCTGTGTTCCCCTCTCCTCTTCTCTCGTGCCGTCGGGCTTGCGATCTGCGCAACTGTCGCCACTTTCGTGGGCTCCTGGGAGGCCCAGCGGAGGTGGGTCCCACGCGGATCACCTCGGTAGCTCGCCGCCCCCTGGGGGGCTTGCGATCTGCGCAACTGTCGCCACTTTCGTGGGCTCCTGGGAGGTCCAGCGGAGGTGGGTCCCACGCGGATCACCTCGGTAGCTCGCCGCCCCCTGTGGGGCTTGCGATCTGCGCAACTGTCGCCACTTCCGTGGGCTCCTGGGAGGCCCAGCGGAGGTGGGTCCCACGCGGATCACCTCGGTAGCTCGCCGCCCCCTGGGGGGCTTGCGATCTGCGTCCGTCGCCACTTTCGTGGGCTCTTGGGAGGCCCAGCGGAGGTGGGTCCCACGCGGATCACCTCGGTACCTCGCCGCCCCCCGGGGGGCTTGCGATCTGCGCAACTGTCGCCACTTTCGTGGGCTCCTGGGAGGCCCAGCGGAGGTGTGTCCCACGTGGACCACCACAAACACCCCTTGTATGTATGTTTTTTATTTTCGCCGCTGCTCTTCTTGCTGCGCTCTTCTGAAATCGCTGCTGGGTGCTCTTCTAGCGCACTGCGAGTCCTTCAGAATGCCAGTCAGCATCGAGTGGTCCTGAGTATACTCGCCGCATGTATAGAAAGGGTTGGGTACGTCGCAGGGTAATTTGGAGGAAATCCAGCTGCGTCGCCTCGCAGATGGCCTCCTGCCCGTCAGCGTCCACCGGGCCGAGGTCGCCGCCGCGCCCCGCGCGGTTTTCTGTGTGCCGGCCGCCGAGCGCTCTGCGAGGAGTCCGCCGGCGCGCCGCTGACCTTCGCGCGCCTCTGCCAGAAGTCCCGGTGTATTGCGCTGTGCACCGCCTTCTGCTCGCCCTTGTCCACGTCGCTGAGCCGGCTCGCAGGCCCCCTGCTGGCGGCGGCAACTGCGTCCGAGAGGCCGCTCGAGGAAGATGCAACGGCGCCCAGCAAGTGAGCGCCCCACTCGTCGTCGACCCCTTTCGGCGAAGACGGCGCGGGCGCGGCGGTGAGGATGCCCGCGCCCGTGACAGTCGGCGCGAGCGGCGCGTCTTTGTTCTGCAACAGGCGCTTCAGGTAGTTCATCGACCATTTCACGTCCTCCTCGAGATAATCGGGGTAGACGGGCTGTGTCGGGTCTTTCTTGCGCTTGCCGGATGCCTCCGTGCACTTCAGGCTGAAAAGGTCTGGCTTGCGCTGGTTGGTGCGGGCCCGCCAGGGCGCGCGGCTCTCTCGCTCGCGCGGCGGAAGTGCGCCCGCTTTTTTCGTGGCCAGCGCAGAGCGCGCCCTGGCCGCGACGGCCAGCATGTCCTCGTGTTCCTCCACGTGCCGAAAGGATGGCCTGATCAGCCGCATGAAGTCGTCGCTGCTCACATCCCTCAGCGTGCCCATCTTCCACTGGGAGACGAGCTCCGCCTCGAACCTCCTGTTGCGCGCTGTCGCAGACGTGGCGGGGGGGCCCCGCGTCGAACTCTGACGGCCTCCACCGAGCCCAGATCGTTCCGTCTTCCTCGCTCCGGTTCAGGAGCGCATCCAGGATGGGCGCCGATTGCTCAGACAACTCGCCATCGTCAAGTTATGGCTGGACTGACGTGGGTCACAGGTTCAGCCTTGGCCTTGAGGAAGTCGAAATGCTTGGCGGTCACGCTCGTCGGGGCGCGCTCGCCCGCCTCGACTCCTCCAGATTGTTGCGGCGCTTCGATCTCCACGCGGCTCATCATGAAAGCCGAAGTCTTCGACCCCTCGCTCTTCCCGACGCGCGTCGTGCCAATCCGCGCCCGGCCGAAGCCCCTGAGGGTGTGAACCAGGATAGGGGGCCTGATTGCGTTATTGAGGAGCCAGGGGTCGAAGTCGCGAAGCGCCAGGGCCCAGGCCGCGAGGCCCTTGACGTTCGCCTTGCCCCTCGCGTAATTGTTCAGCGCCCCCTCGACGCGGCTCTCCCCCCGCCCAGAGATCGGGGATTCCGGCCGGCCGCTCTTCCGATCCGCGAACACAACGCACTGGTTTGGATTGTTAGTGCGCGGCCCCTTCTCACGCGTGAACTGGGGCCCCCGCGGCCTTGAGCCCCGCTCGACCGTCTTCCTGGATTGCCCCTTGCCAGGCTCAAGGGCCACGGCATGGCAGCGCAGCTGGTCGCCCTCCAGCTTCCCCAGCATGTGCAAGAGGGCAACGCGGACAACCCTAAACTGGTCGCCATGGCGCCGTGTCAAACCATTGCTGCGACACACGAAGACACGAGTCTGTCTTGGTCGGGATTCCTAGGAGGTTCGCGTCTTTCAAGATGCCGTGCTTGCCGTCGGACTTCTTGACCACGAAGATCTGCGTGGTGCATTGACCAGGCGGCTCCTCCTTCGGGGAGAAGGGCTCGGGCATGCCCTTGAAGTCGCACTTCTTCGCGCAGTCGTAGAGAGCGCCCCAGGGAACGTCGCCCTCGTAGTCGCCCAGGAGGTAATCTACGAAGTACTGGGCCATCCTGCCGCGTTCCGTTGCGAACTGCGCCGGTAGATCAGGGAGTTTGCACTTCCCTGTCGTGTCTAACTTGGTATTATTGATGCAGGGGTGGTCGCTCACCTTCATGTTTTCGACGTGCTGCAACGCCTCGCCGAGCGTGAAGCTCGGCGCGTAGTCGGTGAGGCCGAGGGGCTAGACCACCGCAGGGTTCATGGCCGCCATGCTGCTGCAGCGAAAAGCGGGCGGCGACAGGTCTCGTCGAGCAGAAACGTCTGCGAGGTAGATTGCTGCGGCCATGTGGCGTTCTCCGCCTCCGCCCGCAGGGGGGCATCCCTTGGTCGGATGCCCTCGAGAGTAACGGTGCCGTACCCGTGGTGGCTATTTTTTGGTCGGCACACTCGGCGCCCGGAATCGGCGCGGTAAGGGGGTGATCGAGGAGGGAGAAGCATCACGGGCAAAATGCCCAAATCCCCCCGCTTTTGAGGCCCCCGACGGACGAACCGCCAGCTAGGCTGACGTCTGGCCCAACCCTGTCTGGCTGTCGGTGAAAGAATCAAGGTCAGGTCGGGCCAGACGGGGGCTGGAGAGCGAGAGAGAGAGAGGCGCCGTATCTCTGGTGGTGGGAAAACAGAAGAGCAGGAGGAGGGCGGCTAGGTTGCCGATCTGAACTTCGCTTGTCTGCGTCGGAGGGTTTGGTGCTGGTTATGCTGCATGCTATGGCTCTGGTTCTGGCGCTGGCTGTGGCTCTGGTTCTGGGTCCCCTCCTGGGTCTCCTCCTGGGTTCCCTGCTGGGTCTCCTCCTGGGTTCCTTCCTGGGTTTCCTCCCGGGTCCCCTCCCAGGTCCCCTTGTAGGTCCCCTCCTGGGTTCCCTCCTGGGTCCCCTCCTGGGTCCCTTTGGGTCCCCTTTGGGTCCCCTCCTGTGCTCCCTCCTGGGTCCCCTCCTGGGTTCCCTCCCGGGTCCCCTCCTGGGTCCTCTCGTGGGTTCCCTGCTGGCTCCTGTCCTGAGTTCCCTGCTGGGTCCCCTCATGGGTCTCCTCCTGGGTCTCCTCTTGGTCCCCTCCTGGGTCCTCTCCTGGGTCCCCTCCTGGGTCCCCTCCTGGGCTTCCTTATGGGTCCCTTGCTGGGTCCCCTCCTGGGTTTCCTTATGGATCCCCTGCTGGGTCCCCTGCTGGGTTTCCTGCCGGGTCCCCTCCTGGGTCCCCTCCTGGGTCCCGTCCTAGGTTCCCTCCTGGGTTCCCTCCTGGGTCCCCTCCTGGGTCCCCTCCTCGGTCGCCTCTTGGGTCCGATCCTTGTTCCCTTCGGCGAGCCTAGCGAAACGTGGGGAACAATCAGAAAACATTACGCTATCGAGGAACCCCACATACTTAACTTAAATATTGTGTGTTTGCTTAAGTTTATAAGATATGCGCAATTCTTCGTTCTCAGCCCTCGTCGCGAATGTTCCCCTATGTGTCATCCAACGCCATATTGCTTGAACCTCCTCCCTCACCCTAGCCTTCTATCCTCCGTCGAGGACAGATTCGAGCCAGCCAGCGGCCGCGGTGAGGGACCACCCCCTGCGCACCCTCGATGGTGTCGAGAAAGTGCCACGCCTGCTATGCCCTGGACGACCGTCGTGCGTAGCGGCCGCGGTGAGGGACCCCCCCTGCGCAGCCTCTATGGTGTCGAGAAAATGCCGCGCCTGCTATGCCCTGGACGACCGTCGTGCATAGCAGCCGCGGTGAGGGACCACCCCCTGCGCACCCTCTATGTCGTCGAGAAAGTGCCACGCCTGCTATTCCCTGGACGACCGTCGTGCATAGCGGCCGCGCTGAGGGACCACCCTCTGCGCACCTCCTGTGGTGCCGAGAAAGTGCCACTCCTGACACGATCTGCGAGCGTGTCACGGATAGAGGCCGCGCTGAGGGACCACCCTCTGCGCACCCCCTGTGGTGTCGAGAAAGTGCCACTCCTGCCAAGATCTGCGAGCGTGTCACGGATAGAGGCCGCGCTGAGGGACCACCCTCTGCGCACCCCCTGTGGTGTCGAGCAAGTGCCACTCCTGCCACGATCTGCGAGCGTGTCACGGATAGAGGCCGCGCTGAGGGACCACCACCCTCTGCGCACCCCCTGTGGTGTCGAGAAAGTGCCACTCCTGCCACGATCTGCGAGCGTGTCACGGATAGAGGCCGCGCTGAGGGACACCACCCTCTGCGCACCCCCTGTGGCGTCGAGAAAGTGCCACGCCTGCCACGCCCTGCGAGCGTGTCACGGATAGAGGCCGCGCTGAGAGACCACCCTCTGCGCACCCCCATGTGGTGTCGAGAAAGTGCCACTCCTGACACGATCTGCGAGCGTGTCACGGATAGAGGCCGCACTGAGGGACCACCCTCTGCGCACCCCCATGTGGTGTCGAGAATGTGCCGCGCCTGCCACGCCCTGCGAGCGTGTCACGGATAGAGGCCCCGCTGAGGGACCACCCTCTGCGCCCCCCCAGTGGTGTCGAGAAAGTGCCGCGCCTGCCACGCCTTGCGAGCGTGTCACGGATAGCGGCCGCGCTCAGGGGCCACCCCCTGCGCACCCCCCTGTGTGGTGTCGAGAAAGTGCCACGCCTGCTGTGCCTGGACGACTGTCGTGCATAGCGGCCGCGGTGAGAGACCACCCCCTGCGCACCCCCTATGGTGTCGAGGAAGTGCCACGCCTGCCACGCCCTGCGAGCGTGTCACGGATAGAGGCCCCGCTGAGGGACCACCCTTTGCGCCCCCCCAGCGGTGTCGAGAAAGTGCCGCGCCTGCCACGCCCTGCGAGCGTGTCACGGATAGAGGCCCCGCTGAGGGACCACCCTCTGCGCACCCCCTATGGTGTCGAGGAAGTGCCACGCCTGCTCGCCTGCCGCATGGCTTGCCGTGTGTATGTGTATGATGCGTGTGCGGCCATATCGGGACATATCTCACGTGTTGCCCAGTATGTCGTGCAGACGTCTTGGGTGTATGATGCAGTGAACATGCGTCTTGTATGTGCGAATGTGTGCATGCGTGCGGCTGTGTGCGAGTGTGTGGGTGAGGAGGCGGGAGGTGTGTGAGACGCGGGTGCGGCGCGGCAGGGAAGAAAACCAGAACCCCACGACGAAGCATGTGGGGAAATACAAACGAACACGAAACAATTCTCGGGGACTCTTCGTCCCCCCTCCCCCCAGAACAGTCCCCAGGATTTCTGTTTGCTTGTCGCTTGTCTCCTATGGTTTCCAGTGGTTCCGGCCAGAAAGGGGATTCCGAGTGGGAGGAGGGGGAGGACAAGACGGAGGAGGAAGAGGGGGGAACGAGAGAGAGAGAGAGGGAGGGAGGGAGGGAGGGAGGGAGGGAGGGGGAGTGGCATAGAGTTTGTTTGGGTGGCTTACGCCTTCCCCATCACATTCTTTGCGGCGCCCAACGGAATCTTATGATCGCGGGGGTCTTGACCCTTCGCGTGCACTTCCCATCCCATGAAGAACCGATGCTTTTGGCGAGTTGTCCTGAGAAGCTTCGTGGAATAAAGAGGGAGGACACTCTGCGGTCAGCCCCATCATCCTCCCACAATGGCCCTTGAGCTTGGGGTTTTCTCTTCTCGGGCCGTTTTGGGAGCCTTTGGGTCCCTCTTGGGGCTTCCTTAGGGGTCCTTCTGTCAGAAGGATCCTTGGATGCCCTCTCTGGGCCGTCCGAGAGGCCATTGACCAAGCAAGGGGGGAGGTCAGATGAGCGCCCCATCTCTAGAGATCGAAGGATCGCCTCTTGGAGCTCTCTTGAGGCCCTCCCGTGGTGCTCTTTGGGGGCTCTTGGGGCCGTCTTGGCTCGCGCCTGGGGTCCCCTTGGATTGGTCGTTGGCCAACCTGGGGCCAGTCAGCCCCTCCGAGGCCCATTGGAAACAAAACGACGAGGAGGCAGCGACACAGACACATACACATACGCATACACAAGGAGGAGGAGGAGGAGGAGGAGGAGGAGGAGGAGGAGGAGGAGGAGGGGGAGGAGGAGGAGGAGGAGGAGGAGGAGGAGGAGGAGGAGGAAGAGGAGGGGAAGGAGGGGAGGAGGGTTGAGAGAGGAGGAGGAGGAGGGTGGGAGGAGGATGGAGGAGGAGGAGGAGGAGAGGAGGAGGAGGAGGAGCAGGAGGAGGAGGAGGAGGTTGATGAGGAGGAGGAGGAGGAGGACTCGCGGGGCGCACTCTGGCCTCGGGCGTCCGTTTCCGCCCCGAGCCACCTCTGACCGCCGGCGGGCCTTGCCCTCGAGCCTGCACTCCCTCGGGAGGACGCCTGCCTTGGCGCTGGCCCGCCCCTCCTCCTCCTTCCCCTCCTCCTTCTCCTCCTCTCCTCCTCTTCCTCCTCCTCCTCCTCTCCTCCTCCCTCCTCCTCCTCCTCCTCCTCCTCCTCCTCCTCCTCCTCCTCCTCCTCCTCCTCCTCCTCCTCCTCCCCCTCCTCCTCCTCCTCCTCCTCCTCCCCCTCCTCCAGGGGGGGACGGCGGGGAGGAGGAGGAGGAGGAGGAGGGGCGAGGACGAAGGATGGGGGAGGCCCTGCGCTGACGGAGGATGCCATCGCTGTCCTGCGGTGCTTCGCTGATCCTGGCCTTCGGGCCGGCTTCTCGGCGGCGGCTTCCGGGCCCCGAGGACTATCCCGTCCCCAGATCTCCGCCGATCTGGTTTCTCAACCAGCGGTGCTTCGTCGGTCCTGGCCTTCGGGGGCGGCTTCTGGGCCCCGAGGATCATCCCAAAATGGGCCTGGGACGCAGAGCCACCCCCGGGGGAGGTGTCCGGACCTCTCGGGGCCGCGGATCGAAGCACTGATCCCGGCGGATGGCAGGGTCTCGGGCGGCGGCGCGATCGATTTCTAGTTCTCCTTTCGCAGCCGAGGCTCAGGCATGCAGCTGCTGTGCATCCAGTGGGTGGGCCGTCTTGGAGTCCGTTGGAGCTATGCTGGAGGTCATCCTGAACCAGCCTTGGGTTAAGTCGGGCCTGTCACCCTACAGGGGGATTTTCGACGAAAAATAAAACATACCCGCAAAATACCCCAAAAAGGTCAAACATATTAGCAAAAATAGTCCCCAGACTATTTTTGGACTATTTTTGGATCATTTTTGGGGTATTTGTTTTTCGTCGAAAATCCCCCTGTAGGGGGATAGGCCCGACATAAGCCTTGGGTT